TGCGTCACGCGTTCCTAGTATATCTACTGTCTCTTAACTTGCTGTCTCTTCATGTATTATATTATATCATAAGTTGAGAACCCTTGCCCCCACATATCTGCTTGTCTCGGGTCACTACAGTAACTAGATTAGACATATCGAGAAGTGTGGGTCAATAGGGGCGGGGTTAGCATATATATATATAGTTATAGTTATAGTACCCCAAGCCCAAAGTCCCTTAAACCCTAGCACGCTACACCCTATAAACCCTATAAGCAACCCACGCTCAACCCGTCCCAGGCAGAGCCTCGGAGCTCCGGTGGCCAAGGCCGGCTCAGTCGCCGCGGCCGCGCCCGGCGGGTCGGTAGCAGGAGCCACGGCTTTCAGTGATGGCTTGGGAGGATGTCGGGCTTAGGGTTTAGGGTACGACTTTGCGTTTACTCAGTTTTCTTTTGTGGCCTTGAGTACCATAATTCCTCACAGCTGGGTCCAACTGCATGGCCTGTCATAAGTACGCGTTGTGCGGGATTGCGCAGTCATGAGTGCTGCACTGCTTCACGGCGACGGCAGTTCCGGGCCAACGAAGCCTGCTGCAAAAAGGGTTAGGGTTTGGAGGGCGTAGTGGTTTTGGTTGCAGAGGGTTGCCTGGGGTTTCAACGAGAATCAACTTCACCCTCCCTGCGGAATTCTCCAGGATCAGCTCCCGTGGCCGCCCCTTACTACTTTGCACGGTCTGTGCAGGCAGGCCATCAGGAGAAGGGCTCGGAGGAAAACGGGTAAATCAGCGGTGTCCTAGTGCTGTGGTTTCCTGCTTGCCCGACTAATTGAGGGGCGAGATTACAGGGCAACAGGAGAGTTCATGTTCAAGTAAGGTCTTGGAACGCCCTTGGACAATGCACGAGACTGCACGTAGGAGGTGGTGAGTTGAAGTCTGAGGCCGACTTGAGTTGACTCCTTTGCTTATGGCTTTCGTGTTATTGTAGGTATATAGTAGCAATGCACTAATATAGTATTAATTACAGCAATATCGCTATCTCGAGCAGAGAACCGCAAGAACCGTGCTTTAAGGCTTTAAGGTTACTTGCTCCCAACAGCTGGATATTCAGAATGGGCTCATGGGTCTTATTGTATACAGCATATAATAGTACCCAGTTCTAATCACGGGCCCCTGTGGGAGGCGGCATGGGACAACCATTTCGAGGCCTTCGGAAAGCAAGACTTGGACAAGATCATGCCACTGTGACGCAGACAGCCAGTCATATCTGAGCACAAGCTCCGCCGCAGGGGCAGAAACTCAAGAAATTCAATCATTAGCACATGAATGGCAGCCGAATGTAACTAGGGCATAATTTTAAAAGAGATGGAACGACGACCTATACATCCATCACACCAACAGGCTGCACATGGCTAGAAGCCTGTCTCCGAATTTCGGGGGTTTTACGGGCAATTCTTGTCAGCCGCAATCAAAATCCGAGCAGCTTCGAGGCAACACCCTTCAACAGCAATCCGGCGAAACATAGCTACAGCTTGGGAATGCCATGAGGCAAAATTGCAGCCAGTCAAGTCAAGGAGTCTTCTCCTGAAAAAGGATTTGCACAGGCGCTGCGGGTCTCTAAGCTTCCATAAATCTGCGGACTGTTGAGAAGAGGTTGGACTACGACGACACCTCCATTGCGAAGGCTGCTGGCCTTGATCATGCCAGGGAGCTTGCCTAAAAGGCCTGTGAATGTGTGACATCCTTCCTCTACATGTCCTATTGCCTGTGTAGCCTCCTGTGTTGCAGTAGGCTTCAAGGGTGCAAGCTGCATGGTTCGTTGGTCTCTTGTCGTGGGATCAGGGGCTTTTGGTTGGCTATGTCTGGCTGCTGGCTGACGCTGTGCCACATAACAACAAATCCCGGAACAAGGTCTACAACAATAAAGATGGATCGAAATCCGAGTTCGTGGGCAAAGTGCAGATCCGCAACATGCTGCCGGGCTGCACTGGTCATGCTGGGCCTTTGTTTCGTTGAAAGGCCGTTGTTCGCAGATGGGCTCTGCCCAGCACTTGCGAAACTGCTCGAAGCATCTGAAACTCCTCGCCGGAGCCTACAATGGTAGTGCCTCGGTCGCTGTTTCCATTCCCCAGCCCTATCTTGCCACTACTGATCGATTGGTATCGTGCAGATGCACCGCGGTTTGACACTAACACCCCAATGATGATGCAAGGTAAGTGCTCGTGCTTCTGAGAGAGGCAAGGAGAGGGAGAGGCATGGAGTGAGAGGGTCTCGAGAATTCATGAACTCTGTCACGCACACACACACACACTCACGACACATACATATATAACCATTCTTGCAGCACCTTGCATGTGCGCATGATTACAGAAAGATAAACAAACGCTCGTATTAGTTACCACGCATAATTTTAGCACATGACGAGTGCACACTTGCCACGACGAGTTGAATGCTTTAGACTTCCACATCTCGCTAGACTTGGACTACTTAGCCCCAAGAGTCAAAGTACCAAGTAGCAGGGTTTAGGTGCCAAAGCCCATTCAGACTATGGCGTTTGGATTTCATGCCCTGGAATTTGCGTACCCGGATCACCGGAAAGGACAACGGGGACCCCAATGATTCAATGTACACCCGAGACAGTGGAATCCTTATCATAAGGACGCCTCCCCCCGGCCCCCCCCCTCCCGAAAGAAACGCACCCGAATGTCACCATAGAAAGTCCAATAGACAGCCCTCGCAGAAGCTCTCAAAATGCGGGTCTCTCCTTCGATTCTGTTATTGAAATTCGGTTGAGAAAAGGGTTCCAGAGAAGAGCCCAGATGCTTCGGCTCTCCCAGCCCAGCCCTGAAACCTCTAAGTTAATTTTTAGCCTTCCCGAAGAACACCTTAACTATCATAGAATATGGCAGCAATGATACAAATCATCATGGCGACTGATAACACATGATGTTCACATGTGTCAGCATGAGCAATACCGATACTCATGCTATGAATGAAGAAGCTGACTCAGGTTCACTGACCTTTTCGCGGACAGCTGCCGGGTTTCCCTCTCTTTCACAATCGTCGCGCTTTGCCTATAGTGCAGATACGGAGGTAGCTTTCCAATGGTGTGCAACATATTCTGCAGTTGAATGCCAAAACGGACCAGCCACAAGTTTGTTGCGCAGGAATACATTTATGGCTCGACTCGTTTGACCCGGGTTTTCTGCTTCAGGTTTTCTGGTTTCAGCCCAGATGTCTCAGACTTTAAGCACGGTTTAAGAGATGACTGGGCCCTGGACTCCAGACTAACTACATCATTGAGATTCGAGGGCCTGTCCGAAACTGTAGCTGAAACCATTACTGATCATTACTGTAAGCCTTACGCCCTGGCTTCCTTGGTGCATTCTGGCTTGATTTCCAGCAGTTTCCCTGTGCAGGTCAAAGTGGGCGCGTCGAAACTCTTATAGCGAAGCGACGCGAACCAAGAACCGCCAGGAAACCCTCACAGCTAGAAACCCAAAGCTCATGGATCGACCGGCCCGCCTCCCAAAGTGGGTTCCAACTCAAGGAAGAGTCAAGAACCCAGAACGACGCGAGCACTTCATAAGCTCCGAAAGAACTTACGAGTCAAGACGAGTACCTATTCTGATGTACTATAATATACTATAATATACTATAATATACGTATACTATAATATACTATACTATACTATACTATACTATACTATACTATACTATACTATTGTAATGCCAGCCCATGCACCTGGAATCCCATGGCCGACGCAGGACCTCTCGAATCTGGACACGCTGAAAGCACCTGCCGGGAGCCTCAGGTTTAGGGTTTAGGGTTTAGGGCCTCAACCGCTTCTGCAACCTGCCAATCTGTCAGGCTGGCACTTTGTATTCGCAAGCCAAAAAACCTTCAGGTTTATGTAGCCGAGTCAAGCTTTTCCAAATAAATGGGCTTCTGAAGTGTACGACTCCCTTGCCTAGGGCTCTTGTGCAAGGAGGACTATACTGATGAGGGATGATTATGGTAGACATGAAGGAGCATGGATTTCTGAAGCTGCCAAGTACGTCGGGCTGAAGTTATTGCTCGTGTCACACACTGGACGGGACCAGTGCCAGGTGCCGCGCAACATACCCCTTTCTGTGGTCATAAAAACGACAAGCTCGGCAGCAGGTCAATAAAGCAACCCGTGTGCGTACTATGCACACTGAGACGCAGGCAGTGACAGGCACGCGCACACATACACACATATACAGGGAGAGATACATACATGTGTATATATATATATACATATGCATTCACAGAAAACATACTTGTATGCTGGGGACTCAATTTGCAGATACGTGTTCGTACTTGAGTTTGTGAGTTGCGGTACATCTGTATTATCGCATGTCCTTATAGGACCGTGGCTTGACTCGAACGGGCAAAGGCAAAGGCAAAAGGTACGTTTTTCTTCGTGGATTCGGTAGGGTCAGTGCGGCTTTATGAATGAAAGCTTGTTGGAGCTTGTGGTTGCCGAACTTCGGAGTGGATTTGGCATAGGTTGCTTAAGTTTTCCTTGGTTCGGAATCCAAAGAGACATATACATCGGCTGCCTGCACCGATCTTTTTCTTCTTCCAGATTCCTTTCTTTTGTTGCGGTCTGGTGCCGAAGCATTCTGTGATGACCTGGCAGGTTGTGGATGTGGATGAGGCCGGCAAGACGGTCTTTTTGGCTTCCTGGCCAGCCATAAGTAGCCCTGTCGTAGTCTTCAGGAGATACCCTAGTGCTTTGCGTTGCTTAGCTGACTCGAAGTGTCTTCTCCGACAACAAAATGGCTCAGGTTTGGGAATGTCCGGGCTGTGGCTACCACACCGCCACGGACACCTTCGTCTTTGGACCGGACAACAAGATCAAGCGTCAGAACATCGTGGTGACGAAAGGCACCCCAGAAAAATCGAAGAAGCCGAAGAAAAAGAAGAGCTATTCCATTTGCTAATCTGCGAGTTGAGAGATTGCATCGGAAAGTCATCAGGGGCCGTCTGAGATGTTTCATATCAAATAATGTTGGGCTGTTGCGGCTTGTTACATTTCCACATAGAAGTCTCGGGCTGGCAGAAGCCACCCTGCAATCTCTTGCGGCTGAGCGCAGATGGCATTTGGAAGCTTGATGTGGCGAATGCCATCTGTAACGTATCCGAAGAGTCCAGTTACCCATAAAATTAGAGTGTTACTGAATCATGTGCACAAGACGGCTGATACAGAGGGTTTAAGAGACAGTAACCCGCGATATGTGTGTAACTGGGCTCCTAGGGGGTATCTTACACATCGATTTTCCCGGTAGCTTCGCGGGAAGCTCCCAGCAGTCTGGTGGGCTTGGTGGAAAGCACCCTATCTTGTCGCGATCACCGCAACAAACAAAAACCCAACAGCCAGCACCTACATTGGCGCATGAGCGTAGTTAGGCGTGAACGTGCTGTGAAAGTGCCAGGCCTGCATCTCTTGTCTTGATGGCTAATAACGACGTGTGGAAGAGCTCAAAAAAGGTCGGGCCCAAGCAGCTGTGATCTTGCTGTTCCATTGGCTTTGGACCCCGAAGACCTCCGCATGTTGGTATCTTACCCGAGTTGGTCTCTGGCTGAGTTCTATCCCAGCGACTGGCACAGAACCCCTCCAATCCTGAACCCCAATGCTTTAATACTGCTGCACCTTGTTTTGGGACCTTGCAAAATCCTCCCATTTGAAAGGCGTGGCCGAAGAGCAATCATGGTAGCAGCGGTTACTTGCTTCATAAAATGTGGAGTATGGCCCAGCGAAAACCCTCGAAGGCGGATTGCACTCTTCTTCTTCGGAAGCTGAAGCACAAGATTTGGCAGATCATTGCTGTGGTGACACGTCTGCCCCGCTCTGTTTTTTAGTTCTACTTCTACATCGCCTCCTTTAGTGCTTTTGCCAGATAATCCTCCAGGATTGCTAAACCCTGAACAACTAATTGACATAAGTATTTCCTCATAGCATAGTAATGTATCCCAAGACACCACTCTGATCATTAAGGCTCCCCCATGATGAAGGTAGATCTTATAGATCTTATCAGCTTTTCGATGCAGGAACTCTCGGAGGAGAGGGAGAAGCGGCAGGCAGCTTTAGCAAGGGAGGTTTCGGCTTCGGGAGTTACGGCTCCCTGGTATCGGGTATAATGGGTTCAGGGTTTAGCTGCTTATGCTTTAGTACTGATAACAGTATGAATCATAATGATAACAATCACAACAATAAGACAACTATTATAGTAATCCGAAGGAATTCCTGATATCGGGTTTAGGAGCCTCCTCAAAAAAATCAGGACCAGCGACGGGCTTGTGAAATCGCAGTTCTATCCAGTGAATCAGTGGCTGTTTGTGGGCATGGCTTTATGCTTGCGAAGGATTCCGTGTGCGGAGGGTTTGCAGGGCTGAGGCTGGGGATTGTGGCTTGCAAGTCTTTGGCTTGTGGTTCTTGTGTTTTAGGACGCCATGGCTCATGGTAAAGCGTATCCGGCATCCGACAAAGCCAGCAGCACGTGAGATGATGAAATTTTGGGAAGATGCGAACCTTGCTTGACCGGGTTCTTAAATTCTTAAACTGTCAGTTGGAGGCCTTACGTCTTAAGTCCCACCACCGACAGTGGCTTCGGTTTAGATTCATCTTCAGATGCCTAGTCCTGGTTTGGGGATCTGCAGCCGTCCTGGTGGCCTGGGAATCTGAACATGCGGCGGCTGAATCAGTCACGAGCGGTGTCAAGGTTCGGTTCTGGGCCAGATTTCATCGCGGGCTTTGGCCAGCACCCTCTCTTAGTCACAAATGCAGAATGCCGAGCCGTAATCGTAATCCTCATACTGCTGACACGGGTTCAATTTTTGCCTTGCTGAATCCCAAAAAATTTGCTCGGCAGGGAGAAGAGGGTTGAATCTGAGGGTGTCTGCGGGCAATAGGAAAGCCGAAGTTCCGGCGCTTGCAAGAATCAGGCTAGCATGCGGTCAGAGTCTTCGAAGCTGCAAGTGCCTTGATCCATGCACTGGGTCGGTGTTGAAGTAGACGCTAAACCCTAAACCCTCAATCGCTGAAAAAGGCGGCGGAGCAGAAGCTGCTTCAGTTCGAGGCAGCCGCTTCGGGGATTTTGGTCCAGTGTTTGAATACACACGAAGGATGGACAGGAGAGGGACGGACAGACAGAAAGCGGCGTCGCATGGATGTATGTATGTATGTATGTGTGTGGGTGTGTGTATATATATATACACACGATGTATGTTGGCTGTGAGTTTGCGGCGGCCGGGGTGTTTCTCACTGTAGTTGGTTGTTTCCGTTTGTCTGTCTGTCTGTCTGTCTGTCCGTCTGTCTGTCCGTCTCTCTGTCTGTCTCTGTCTGTCTCTGTCTGTCTCTGTCTGTCTGTGTCTGCCTGTGTCTGTCTGTCTGTCTGTCTGTCTGTCTGTTTCTATGTTTCTGTCTCTGTGTGTCTGTCTTTGTATGTCTCTCTCTGTGTGTCTGTCTTTGTGTGTCTGTCCCTGTGTGTCTGTCTTTGTGTGTGTGTTTCTGTGTGTTCGTGTTGGTGTGTCTGCTCGGTGTGTCTGCCTCTGTGCGTTTGTCGGTTTGTTTGGCTGCCGGTCTGTATTTCGGTCGGTCGGTCTGTCTGTCTGTCTGTCTGTCTGTCTGTCTGTCATTCTGTGATTACATCGGCATCTCGCAAGGCAAGCTGTGCACATGAGCAGGTAACTGTGTACTTCAATATTAAACGGTTCAATGTTGTATTGCACCGTTATAGCAGATACTAGTACAAATGCAATTTCAGATATGCATACATGATACAGAAAATAAGTTCAACCGGATTGTCAGATACGTGGCAGGCAGATAGACAGAGATCGGCAACATAGGAAACATGCAAACACTATTTTTACTTCATGGTCTGTTTGTTTTGGTCACTTGCTGTACCGGTCTGCACTCACACAAATGCTCTTATAGATTCGTGCCTTCAATCTCCAGCGATGCACGTGCCAACGCCACATGCAACAGACGCATGATACATGCTTTGTATATGCATGTTTACATTTGTGCACGCACATGTTTGTGCAAAATTCTTCACGAAATATGCATCGTGCATAGATCGTGGCCGCCCTGCCCTAAGCTTTGCAAATCGGCTACAGTGGCTACAGGGGATGCGCTGCACTCGGAGCATGCACCAAGGATTCAATCAGCCACATGCCGTAATGTAACCAGAACCGCTGAACCCTTCCCCCGTCCCCGCACAACAAGCCTCGGTTCACCCTAAACCCTGAGCCCTAAACCCCAGTAAACCAACTAAGCCTCCAGTGGAGGTCGCTGGCTTCTCAGATGCCACTGTGGCCACAGGTGCCGTTCAGGCCTTCCAAGGGTTACGATCTTAGCTGCATGACTCCAAAAGACTAACAGTGACAGTATCTGAAGAACTCCGCATCTAGTGCAGGTGTGCCATCATCGTGTAGTCAACTTTTTTGATGTTAAGCCACGTGAGTCTGTGGTTACACTACGTAGACAAATTTTCCGCTGTCTGTCTGTGCTTGTGACGAGTAGGTCGCTTTGACGACTTTTTGTATGGATACAGACTTATGTGTATTATACATACACACACACATATATATATATATATGTATACATGTGTACGTGCGTATGTGTATGTATATATATATATACATATATATGTATACATATATATATACATATCCATATACATTTATACACATAACTTTCTGTTTATACATACGCGCACGTACGAATATCGCATTTACAGACAAACAAAAATCTACATGTATGTGTGTCCACAAAAAAATGTATGTATGCATGCATGTATGTATGTACGCATGTATGTATGTATGTATGTATGTATGTAAGTATGTATGTGTGCATGTGTGTATGTACGTATGTACGTATATTTGTTTGTATGTATGTTTGGATGTATGTTTGGATGTATGGATGTATACATGAACCTATGTATGTATGCGTGCATGTAAGAAACTGTAAGTATATCGGTATGTTTGTGTTTATGTACATATGTACCTAACTGCACATGTATATGCGTGCACACAAATGTATATGTTTACATATATATATACATACACGCAGATACTGTCACAGATGTATGTATGTATATAGTTCTTGTTCATTTGTTTTCACACGTGCATACCAAACACACATACATATACATTCATTCATTCATTCATTCATTCATTCATTCATTCATTCATTCATTCATTCATTCATATATATATATACACACACGCACGCACATACACATGGCTGTACAGTGGCAGGCCAAGACTGCCGAGCTCGAGAAGGCATACGACTCAGTGCGACATTGCAAGCAGAAGCTCCATGGGGCATTTGTGCCACGAGTTGCAGCTTGAAGCTACTGGGCTACAGTACGACCAGCTTTGTAGCTCTAATTCTGGACATGCAGTGTTGTCAAGTACGCCCATGGATTGAGGGACTTGCCTCGCTAAAGCTCGATGAACTCAAAGTCGCTGGAGGATGCTAGGGCGTTGCATACTCCATTTGGTTTGTTGCCAACTACGCCTAACCTTCAATCCCTGAAACATATACCCCAAATCCTCGATCCTGAATTAATCTGAACCACATACCGAACCCTACACCCCAAAGCATAAAGTTAGAGCCCCATTTCGTCGAGGCCATGCAGCAGTTAGCCGAGGCTGCAGCGGGGCATTGTGAAAACCTCTGCGTTACACTTGCTCTTAATGTTTGTAATTGCCAACGACGATGCAGTCTTGTTGACTGGAAATGCCTGCGCTTGTCATGGGTATTCGTACAATGACAGCTCCGTCTACAGTCCTGATGGTATCCCAGAAAAGACTTCGTAGAGCAAGTTCTGGCACGTGGGTTTCTAAACAACACCAAGAGAGCTTGTTAATGAAGAATTTGAGGTCTGGGCTGCTTTGTGATTTAGCCTTTGGGTGAGACTCAACGGGATACGGGATC